CGATAGCAGGGGCTGGAGTTGATGACCCAGGAGGTCCCTTCCAGCCCCGTGTGCCAATCAGAGATGCAAACGGCTCAGCTAACAACTTCTCTCTGTTACTGGTTTTGTATCAGGATCCTTGGCCCAGTTTGTGCTGACTCAGCCGCCCTCAGCATCCGCGTCTCCTGGGCAAACCGTTACGATCTCCTGTGCCAGGAGCAGCGGCAGCATCGGTAGCTACTATGTACAATGGTACCAACAGAAGCCTGGCAGTGCCCCAAAGCTTATTATATACGAGTGGAACAAGAGACCCTCTGGCATCTCCGACCGATTCTCCGGCTCTACAGACACCTCCGCCAATGCTGCCTCCTTAACCATCTCTGGGGTCCAAGCCGACGATGAGGCTGATTATTACTGTGAATCAAATGACGGAGGCTACAATCCCACAGTGCTACAGACCCATGGGGAACTGAGACCAAAACCTGCCACAGCAGCTCACGTTCCACTGCTCTGGTCTCGCTGCGTCTTCCCCCTGCCTGAGGCCCTGCAGCGAAATGAACTGTCTCTCCCCTGTCACGGGTGGTACAGTCCCAAATAAAGGGCAAACTATGAGGTAGCTTCTCTGTGTCTTGTTGGGGGCGGTGGAGGCCTGGGGATGCTGCCGCCCTGTGGAGACAGGCTGTGGGGTGTTGTGCTGGCATGGGACAGACGACTGGGGAAGGCCTGTGCTCTGTAGGGCTCCTTACCTCTGCTGGGGCAACGAGCCACATGTGCTCCCCTCCAGTCCCTGCTGTCTGCCGGCACGTAGGGGGCGTGGCCTTTCCACTCCCAACCCCTCGCTGGCCGTGTCTCCCATGGGGCTGTGCAGTGCCGCTAGGCGACCCCAAAGCTGAGCACTCCGGGGGCGCTAGATCTAGGCTGTGTCTAGCCCCTGCCCAGGTGCAGTGAGGAGGGACGATTCCTGGGCCCCATCCCCATCTCGTGCCTTTGCACTGAACCAGCCAGGGAATGACTCCGGGTACATGAGACAGACGGGGGAGGATGTATACACGGGGGGAGAGATTGGAGTGGGGGTGGGGAGAGACAGGGAGATCGGAAGGGGCTTGAGATCACTGTGGGAGTGACTGAGGTTTGTTTCTAGAAAGCCCCTTCTGTGTGAATTCCCACGTGGGCAGACCCTGGGGAGGAAGGGTCTGGAGGGCGTCCCCCATGACAGTGTGGAGTATCTCTGTCATAGCAGATTGTACCAGGTACCAATGTAGCCTGGTGCCAGGACACCAATGCCACGTTTTCTGTTCGGGGGAGTAACGAGGATGAATCCTACAGAGAATACCATTGACCTGAGTCCAGCCTTGGGTGGATGCCAGCATGTAGGAGGGCAGATCCAACATTCCTCTTAG